AAATTTCCTTATGATTTGCTTGTCTGAAAAGGATCATGTATCTTCTTTGCCTGTTATGCTTACTTTGGCTGGATATGAAATTCTTGGTTTTTATTTTCTCTAAGAATGTTGAATATTGGCCCCCAGTCTTTTCTGGCTTGTAGGGTTTCTGCTGAGATCCACTGTTGGTCTGATGAGCTTCCCTTTGGCCTTTCTCTCTAGCTGCCTTTAACATTTTTTCTTTCATTTTGGCCTTGGAGAATCTGATGATTATGTGTCTTGGAGATAGAAATAAATACTTCTTGTGAAGTAACTTACTGGGGTTCTCTGCCTTTCTTGAATTTGAATATTGGACCCTCTAGATACGTTGAGAAAGTTCTCATGGATAATATCCTGAGAAATGTTTTCCAAGTTGGTTCCATTCTCTTAATCTCTTTCAGGAACACCAATATGTCATAGACTCAATCTCTTTACATAATTCCATATTTCTCAGAAGTTTCTATTCATTTGCATTCTTTTTGCTCTATTCTTGTCTGTCTTATTTTGGAAAGCCAGTCTTCAAGCTCTGTGATTCTTTTCTCTACTTAGTCTATTCTGCTATTAATACTTATAATTGCATTATAAAATTCTTGTAGTGTGTTTTTTAGCTCTTTCTGGTAGTTTACATTCTTTTATATTTTGGCTATTTTGTTTGTCAACTCCCACACTATTTTATTATGATTCTTACCATCCATGGATTGCATTTTGACATATTACTACATCTAAATAATCTTCATTCCTATCTATATTCTGATTTCTATTTATGTCATTTCAACCATCTCAGGATGGCTCAGAACTCTTGTTGGATAGTTAATGTGGTCATTTGGAGAAAAGAAGACACACTGGGTTTCTGAGTTGTCACGGTGTGTGATGATAGTGGGACACATCCTCATTTGCATGGTCCAGCAGCAGCAGCAGCAGTGTGGTAGGGTGCACACTTGTTAGCTGTGTCAATTAATACAAATAAAATATTTATTTTACTTTATTTAGTCTTTCTCTGACACTTTTCCTTTATTTAGATAGATCTGAGTTTCTCGCCACCATTTTTCTACTCTCTGAAAAGTATCTTTTAACATTTGTTACAGACAAATCTACTAAAAATAAGTTTATAATTGCTTATCTGAGCAAATAGTTTTCTTTTACTTTTGAATAATTTTGGTGAATACAAAATTTGAGGTTGGTGTTTTTCCTTTATTCTTCATTTAATACTTCAAATATTAGAGAACCTTGGATTTAAATTTTAAAAATTAGCACCCAAACAAAACAAACATTCCACTCTCTTCTTGCTTGTATGCTTTACAGTGTGAAGTATCATGTAATTCTAATAATTATTCCTTTATTGTTAAGATTTTTTATACACTCTGGCTTCTTTCAAGATGTTCTCTTTGTTTTCAAACTCATATGATCTTCATATGCAGTTTGCATATGATATGCCTTGGTGGTATCTATCCTCCTCGGGGTCCTGTGAGGATTCTATTTTCATTTTTTAAGGCAAATGTTATTTAAATGCATAAAAATAAAATTTTAAAATATGTGGAGTAGGCATCTACTCATCTTTTATAAAGCTTTTCTTCTGTTCACCCTCTGTATATCTCTATTTCAGTTGTTTTTCCATTTCCATTCACCTATTCATATAATAAAATTTATTGAACATCGGTCAGGTGCAATGGCTCACACCTGTAATCCCAGCACTTTGGGAGGCCAAGGTGGGTGGATCACCTGAGGTCGGAAGTTCAAGACCAGCCTGACTAACATGAGGAAACCCTGCTTCTATTAAAAATACAAAATTAGCTGGGCATGGTGGCACACACCTGTAATCCCAGCTAGTTGGGAGGCTGAGGCAGGAGAATTGCTTGAACCAGGAGTTGGAGGTTGCGGTGAGCCAAGATTGTGCCATTGCACTCCAGCCTGGGAAACAAGAGCAAAATTCCATCTAAAAAAAAAAATTACTGAACATATAATATGTGTCAAAACCTGATTTTGGAAAACCAGAACATGATCTTTATATTTGTTTTGCAAAATTAATTATCTCATTAAATTTGCAAAATTCTCAGCAACTACTACTTGAAATATTCTGCTTTCCTGTTTCCCACCTCCTCCTCTCCTTTTCCGTTTTGCATTTTAGTTTGGGAAGTTTCTATTGACATCTCTTCAAACTGAATAATTTTTTCCTTGGCCATGTACAATTTACTGATATACCCATATGATTTTGGATTTTAACGTTTAATTTCTATTTTTTCTGAAGAATTTTTTTCTCTTTTTACCTTACCCATCTGTTCTTGCAGGTTCTCTACTTTTTTCAGTTAGATGCCTTAATTTATTACTCATTGTTGCTTTAAATTCTCTATCTGATAATTATAATATAGGTGTCATATATGAGTTTGCTTCTGATGCTTGTTTTGGCTCTTAAGACTGTGGGTTTGTTTTCTTTCTTGCCTTTAGCATGCCTTATAAGTTTTTAATAAAAGCCAGACATAATCTATTGGGTGAGAGAAACTGAGGTAAACAGGCATATTTATGTGAGATGTTATGTTAATCTGGCTAGGAGGCTGGATGTTTTTAATATTTGTTGTAGGTGTAGATGTTGGAGGCTTTGGGTTCCTCTAGTGTCTTTGTTTTGTTCTCCCCTAGGTCTTTAAACCAACAATACCTCCTTAAAGAGATTGTAACATTCAGCTCTTTATGATGTAACCCACTGTTGTAATGGATATTCAACGATGTTGCATTTAAGTGGGGAAGAAGGGAAGTATTCTGTAATAGGATTCTTGGTGTTTTCAGTGAGCTTGAGTTTCTAGGCTATGACATTCAGAAATGTTTCTCAGCTTCATCTTTTTTATAATTTTTTTCCACTTAAGTGAGCTTGACGTGGCTGTCCTTCCCTTAAGTGAGCTTGATGTGTCTGTCCTTCCTCCTTCCCTCAGATTGAATAAGGCTCTGGTAAATTTTCTTCCTTTGGAAAGCAGGTTCCTGTTGTGAAATATATTGTGGGCATATTTCAAAATGGCTACTTTTGTCCTCAACTTGCTAGAAACATAAAGTGATTTTTTCTTTGCTCTTTACCTTGAAATTGATGGGGTTTTGAGGGATAAAAGCCATGAAAGCATAGGGTCCTAGGATTACAGCCTCAGAAAATCTGCTGGTGTCATGTACCGATAGGAACAATTAAACTATAATTTTGATGAACTGCTTTAGGCCTTGTGGAGTAGCATGAGGGAAAGCAACTACTCAACCTAATTTTTGGTGTTTTGAAGGCTGTCTTCTCTCTCTGATTGCTTTCAGGAACCTCCATTTGGGACTTCCACCAAATATGGCTGAATAGGAACAGCTCTGGTCTTCAGTTCTCAGCCAGAATGAGCCAGAAGGTGAGTGATTTCTGCATATCAAACTGAGGTACCAGGTTCATCTCATTGGGACTGGTTAGACAGTGGGTGCAGACCAAGGAGGGCAAATGAAACTGTGCTCCTGGTGCTTCACCCCAGAAGCACAAGGAGCCAGAGAACTCTCTCCTAGCCAAAGGAAGCCATTAGGGACTTTTCCAGACACTCTGGCTCAAATACTGTGCTTTCCTCATGATCTTTACAACCCACAGACCAGAAGATTCCCTCTGGTGCCTACAACACTAGCACCCTGGGTTTCCAGCACAAAACTGGGAAGCCATTTTAGCCACAGCAGATTTTTTTTTCTTTCAGCCAGTGGCGGCTGAAATGCCAGCGAGACAGAACTGCTCATTCCCCTGAAAAAAAGGAGGCTGAAGCCTGGGAGCCAAATGATCTGGCTTGGTGGGTCTCAGCCCCACGAAGACCAGCAAGCTAAGGATCCACTGGCTTGAAATACTCACAGCCAGCACAGCAGTCTGAGCTGGACCTGAGATGTTCAAGCGTGGTGAGGGGAGGGGCGTCTGCCATTGCTGAGGCTTGGGTAGGTGGTTTTAATCTTGCCTGTGTAAACAAAGTCACCGGAAAGTTTATACAGCAACTGGGGAGAGCCCATGGTGGCTCACCAAGGTCTCTGCAGGCAGGCTGTGACTCGACTCCCTTCTTGCTGGGCAGGGCATCTCTAAATAAGGCAGAAGCCCATCAGGGATTTATAAATAAAGGCTCCATCTTCCTGGGATGGAACACCTGGGAAAAGGGGCAGTTGTGGGTTCAGCTTTAGCAAACTTAAATGTCCTTGCCTGGCAGTTCCCAAACCATTTATCCTGACTGGGAGACACTTCATACAGTAGAGCTCTGGCTGACATCTGGCGGGTACCTTTCTGGGATGAAGCTACCAGAGGAAGGCACAGGCAGCAATCTTTGCTGTTCTGCAGTACCTGTGGGTGATTCCTATTAGGCCTCCAAGTCTAAGCCTGGCTATTTAAGCCTTGGTGAGCCACACGTACACCTCTGAATGGTCCCCAGGAGCCAGGAAGTCTGAAGTAACCAGGGGGCCACAGAAAGAGGTAAAACAACTTGTTCCTGTCTCAACTAATAGCTGTAAACCTGCATCCATTGTTCCTGTTCAACCTTGCAAAGTTTCCCCCAGACATTGGGTTTCTCAAGACCGCCACCCCTGTAACTATGTAATTTACTGCACCCTCCCCTCTGACTGCAACTGACACTCCCCACACTTATATTTATGCCTGTTTGTAATAAATGACCTTCCCCCATTGTGATCACACATCCCATGACACCCTCTCCCTCCCCAAGATAAATTACCACCATTAGCTGACCATTTTCCCCAACTGTATAACCAATCCCCTCTCCTACCCCCTTTGCCTAACTCCTTTCTCAGACTTGGCCCACTTGCATCCAAGCATGAAATAAATGGCCTTGTCTGGTGGTCTCTTTACATGAGTGACACATATGACAATCAGCGCCAAAACCTGAGATGGGGGACCTCCTACAGGAGACTAAACCCCCTGCCTCTACTCCTTGTGTTTCCTCCGTGAAGAGACCTACGTACGACCTGAGTTCATCAGACTAGTCCGTTCATCCACTCACCATTCTTAGATCATGTAAGAAGTTTGCCTCAACTCTCTTCTTTAGCCCTTCTCACTGCCTGTCAGCTTCCTTGTCCTTTCGGTTTCATTTTCTTCTCCCTTTCAGTGGAGACAAGAAAGACAGGAGTTTCCTTGAGGTTCATGACTAGAAAAAATCCTAAGTTGGTCATGGAACTGGGAAGACAGTTTTTCTTCAATGACTGATCATTGCAGAGACATTTGCTCTGGTCATTCACTCACTCATAGGGTGACAGATCAACTTGAGGGATGTCCCTTTGATCAATTCATCCCAGGTTCAGACCAAGTTTTAGTCTGGGACGCCTGCTAAACTGCTTGGTAATGTATTCACTTTCCTTGTCTCCACCACTCTTAAACTATGGGCAATCTCCCACCCTCCATTCCTCCCCTCCTCTCCCTTAGCCTACATTCTAAAAAACCTCAAACGACTCTAGCTATCACATGACCTAGAACCTAAGTATCTTATTTTCTTCTGTAATTCTGCTTGGCCTTGATATACATTGGGCAATGGCTCTAAGTGGCCGGAAAACAGCACCCTGGATTTTTCTATCCTGCAGGATCTAGACAAGTTTTATCATAAAATGGGCAAATGATCTGATGTCCCGAATGTCCAGGCACTGTTCACACTTCACTCCCTTTCCAGACTCCGCTCCCAATGTGACACCTCTCAAATTCTCCTTCTTTCCCTCTTACCCATGCCCCCGTCCCTACTGCCAGTGCAGATTCCTCACTCTCAGTAGACCCTTCTTATCTTTCCCTTCCCCCTCAGGCTACTCCTCATCAGGCTGAACTGAACTGTAATCTCCCCATTGCCCCATCCCCTCCCTTGCACACTTCCTCTATCCCTTCCCCATCCCACACCTGCTCTGGGACACAATTCAATCTAACAGTTTCCCAACCCAACAGTTTCCCCTTTGAGAAGTGACTGAAGTGGAGGGCATACTCAGGGTGCATGTTCCTTTTCCTGTGTCCCAAACTGGTCAGCACTTGGGATCTTTTTCGTCAGATTCCAGTAAATATATCCAAGAGTTTCAATATCCAACTCAGTCCTACAATTTAACCTGGAATGACTTACATGTCATTCTAACCTCTACTCTTTCTCCAGATGAACAAAACAGGGCTTATAATATGGTTCAATCTTATGCTAACACCCAAAGATGCCATAAGCCATCTCTCCAAGAGGGTGTCAGGGTAGTACCTAGGGGAGAACCCCATTGACAATACCAGGTGGGCTCGCCTCCAAGCATGACTATATGGTCTCTTGCTTAAATGAAGGACTTAAGCAGGCAGCTTACAAAGCTGTTAATTATGACAAAGTTAAAGAAACAACCCAGGGCAAACATGAAAATCCTGCCCAATTCATGGCCTGCCTGGTAGAAACTCATAGACGCTTCACACCACTAGACCCAGAGAGGCCAGAGGGTCACCTTATTCTCAATATGTATTTTATTACCCAATCTGCCCCAGACATTAGGAAAAAACTTCAAAAACTAGATTCAGGCCCTCAAACTCTACAACAGGAATAATCAAACTCATTTTCAAGGTGTTTTAAAAAATAGGGGGGAAGGAGCCAAACAACTTATTTCAGGGCTGCAACTGCTTGCCTCCTCAGTAAGACAAACTCCAGCCACTGTTTCAATGACAGCTTTCAGGTATGCAGGCAACTACAGTCGGGTGCTCTATCAAGCCATCCTCTACCAGGGCCTTGCTTCAAATGTCAGAAAACTGGCCACTGGGCCAGGCAGTGCCCACAACTTGGGGCTCCATTCTGCTTCAAATGCCAGAAGCTTGGACATTGGGCTAATGAATGCTCACATCCCAAGGCTCCCTCTAAGCTGTGTCCTGTCTTTGGGGAACCTCACTGGAAATCAGACTGTCTGACTCATATTATAGCCACTCGCAAGTCTACTGGAGTTCAAACCCAATATTCTTCAGCTGACTCCTTTACTAACTCTCCTTACAACTTTCCTATTTTGCCTGTCCAGAAACTGGACAAATCTTACCGGCTAGTCCAAGACCTTCACCTTATCAATCAAATTGTCCTTCCCATCCTTCCTGTAGTGCCAAATCCATATACTCTCCTGTCCTCAGTTCCTCCCTCCACAGCTCATTCTGTACTCGATCTCAAATACGCCTTTTTTACCATTCCCTTACACCCCTCTTCCCAACCTTTATTTGCCTTCACATGGACTGACCCCAACACCCACCAGTCACAACTCACCTGGATTGTCCTGCCTCAGGGCTTCGGGGAGAGCCCACACTACTTCAGTAAGGCCCTCATTCACAACTTGCTCTCTTTCTGTCCCTCGACTTCTCACCTTATTCCATACGGGGAAGACCTCCTCTTATGCAGCCCTTCTTATAAAGCTTCTCAGCAAGACACTCTCCTGCTTCTTCAGCACCTATTTTTAAAGGAATATCACGTGTCCTCTTCTAAGTCCCAGATTTCTTCTCCATCTGTCGCCTATCTAGGCATCATCCTCCAACAAAACACTCATGCTCTCCCCACCAACCATATCCAGTTAATCTCAATCCTGAATTCCTCAATCAAACAGCAGCTCCTCTTCTTCCTAGGTATGGTCAGATGCTTTCACCTTTGGATACCAGTTTTGCTATTCTAACCAAACCTGTATATAAGCTCACCAAGAGAAACTTAACTGACCCCATAGATTCTAAATCCTTTCCTCACTCCTTTCACTCTTTAAAGACAGCTTTAAAAACTGCTCCCACATGAGCTTTCCCCAACTCATCCTAATCCTTTCCTTATACACTGCTGAAAGTCAGGATTGTGCAGTTGGAGTTCTTACCCAAGAGCCAGGTCCGCATCCTGTTGCCGTCCTCTCTAAACAGCTGGACCTCACTGTCCTAGGTTGGCCCTCATGCCTGTGTGTGGCAGCTCTCTCTGCTCTGCTCCTTCTTGAGGTTTTCAAAATTACAGGCAATGCCTCACTTACTCACTCTATTCAGCTCTCACAACCTTCAGGCTTTAGTATCCTCTTCCCATCTCCCACATCTTTATCTGCCCCATGTCTTATCCAATTCTATTCACTCTTTATTGAAACTCCCACTGTGACTGTTGCACATGGCCCTGATTTTAATCCACCCTCTCATCTAATATCAAATATAAACACAAGCCCCGAACCCCATGACTGTATCTCCCTAATCCATAGAGCATCCTCTCCTTTCCACATATTTCTCTCTTTCCCATTCCAGACCCAGACCACACATGGTTTAATAATGGCAGTTCTTCAAAGCCCAGTCATTTAACACTGGCTAAAGCTGGTTATGCAGTTGTATCCCACTTATCTATCATGGAGGCTACCACTCTCCCTCTCTCTACCACTTCTCAGCAAGCTGAACTAATTGCTTTAACCTATGCTCTTATGCTTGCTAAGGGACTACATGTAAATATCTGACTCTAAATACGCCTTCCACATCATACACCACCATGCTGCCATGTAGGCAGAAAGGGGCTTTCTCACTACACAGGGATCTTCTATTATTAATGCTTCCTTAATACAGGCCCTCCTTAGGGCTGCTCTCCTCCCAGCCAAGGTGGATGCAGCAAACCACCATAGCACATGTACACGTATGTAACCTGCACATTCTGCACATGTACCCCAGAACTTAAAGTATAATAAAAAAAGAAGAAAAGCTGGTGCAAAAATGGATCTTTAAGTCAGATTCTGTGCACAGATAGAGCAATATGAGGCATGAATTAAAAGCACCTAGACATAATAGGAAGAGCTGATATTTATATAATCAGTGTAAATTATACTAAACAAATGTGGATTTTTTCGGGGCAAAAGGTGAACTTTAGGCAATAGGTATTCTCTCGCAGTTTACTTGCATTTTTGAGGAAGTGAAAATATCATATCAAAAAAAAATTCAGTGCATCTTGATAGATATTGGATGTCTACAGTTACCTAATGCAACATATTATATCATTTATTAATTTATTTTAAAATGATTCATTTAACATCCACTTGCTGGTAGGTGCCCTTCTAGATGTGCTTTGTTAATAGGTGTAGGTACTATGAGTACAATAAATTTTAAAATGAGCTAAAAATCATGGGTATAAAGTAAAAAAGACTGGTGTAAATCTGTTAGGAGATCCAGAAGGTGAGGAAAAAAAACAAATAAAACAGGCAAAAGGAAGGATAATGGCTGCAGCACTTCCAGAATTAATAAAAGGCATCAATCTTCACCTATGGAACTTATAGAACACCTATGTTCACTTATGGAACACTTAAGACTTCCAAACAACAAAGAGCATCTAAGTCAGAAACAGAAGTGATAATAAGAGTTAAGTGTTCTAAGATCACTGTATTATTAATTACTAATGCTAAAATAGGGTAACCTTTGATAGGTTAAGTTTTCCAAGATAATTAGTAATGAGTTCACAGATAATACAGTAGCTAAGCATAGAGTAGACTCCATCTCAAGACAATAATCAGTGGTTAGAGCTGTCTTCTACCTGCTAAATTTTCAGGACTTTTGGCAACCAGTTATTAAACTATCAGAAGCTTGAAATCAGCCATGGCAGGAGTAATCCATGGGCAATACCACTGAGAGCCAGTAGTTAAACATTTACAGGCACACTGCAGCTCTGAGTCCTGTACTCTTATCTCTATGATATGCCTCTTCATAATATGTCTTGGCAACATAAGCTTATAGAATAGCAAAGACAAATTTTTAAAATGTTTTTCTGTTTCCTGCAAAACAGGGCATATGTTCCTCAAATATTCTCTTGCTTAATAAAGAAAGTATGGCCATGGCTAGTCCTTAATTCCTAATGAAGAAATAAAACTTTACAATTAGCTTAATTACTTGCCATCAGAAAAATTACACATATCTTGGCCCTGAGTAAATAATATGTATTACTAATGCCTAAAATAACCTTAATACATGCATCATTTATTTATTAGTAGAACATAGTCAGGTAACTTTTAAATGTTTCACAGTGAAAGAATGGAGGTAATAATTGCAAAAAAATATGCATACAATGAGAGTATATTGATTGAATGATAAATAAACATGTCCTAGATGTCAGCAAAGTGTCATGAGAAGGCAAGATCTGTCTTCCCAGAGTAAATTACCTTTCAAGTTATAGAGAAAGAATTGTTAGTCTGCTTAGAGATGAAAATGAAAACATATAGAGCAAAGAAGGGGAAGATAGAATCAAGGTTTAATTGTTTTAAAAATCTATGAAAATAATTTTTTGATGTTTGCATGATAGAAAAGCCACAATGGTTAAAAAAAAACATACACAAACACAGTCTCTCTAGATTGATAGGTTAGATGATTAATAGACAGATTGGTTGATCAGTGGTGTAATGCAAATTTCTATTTTGAGTTATAGACAACAGCATTTGAAGGAACAGGTTATGAGATCATTTTTGGAAAATCTGATATAATTTTGAAAAGTACAAACTGAGCAACCCCAAGGCACATAACCATCAGATACACCAGGGTCAAAATGAATAGGAATATGCTAAGGGCAGTCAGAGAGAAAGGTCAGGTTAACAACAAAGGGAAGACCATCAGACTCACAGAAGATCTCTCAGCCAAAACCCCAAAAGGCAGAAGAGAGTGGAGGCCAATATTCAACATCCTTAAAGAAAAGAACTTTCAACCCAGAATTTCATATCCAGCCAAACTAAGCTTCATAAGTGAAGGAAAAATAAAATCCTTTGCGAACAAGCAAGTACTCAGAGATTCCATCACCACCAGGCCTGCTTTACAAGAGCTCCTGAAAGAGGCACTACACATAGAAAGGAACAACCAGTACCAGCCATTCCAAAAACATACCAAATGCTAAAGAGCATCAACAAAATGAAGAATCTGCATCAACTAACAGGCAAAACAGCCATCTAGCATCAAAAGGGCAGGATCAAATTCACACACAGCAATATTAACCCTAAATGTAAATGGACTAAATGCCCCAATCAAAAGACACAGACTGGCAAATTGGATAAAAAATGCTAGAACCCATTGGTGTGCTGTATCCAGGAAACCCATCTCACATACAAGGATAAACAAAGGCTCAAAATAAAGTGATGGAGGAAGATTTACCAAGCAAATGGACAGCAAAAAAAAAAAAAAAAAAAAAAGTAGGAGTTGCAATTCTCATCTCTGATATATAGTCTTTAAAACAACAAAGAACAAAAGAGACAAAGAAGGACATTACATGATGGTAAAGAGATCAATGCAACAAAAAGAGCTAACGATCCTAAATATATACGCACCCAATACAGGAGCACCCAGATATATAAGGCAAGTTCTTAATGACTTACGAAGAGACTTAGACTCCCACACAATAATAGTGGAAGACTTTAACATCCCATTGTCAATATTAGACAGATCAACCAGACAGAAAATTAACAAGGATATCCAGGACTTAAACTCAGACCTGGAACAAGCAAACCTAATAGACATTTATAGAACTCTCCACCCCAAATCCACAGAATGTACATTCTCCTCAGTACCACATTACACCTACTCTAAAACTGGCCACATAATTGGAAGTAAATCACTCGTCAATATATGCAAAATAATAGAAATCATAACAAACAGTCTCTGACCACAGTGCAATCAAGTTAGAACTCAGAATTCAGAAACTAACTCAGAACCACACAGCTTCATGGAAACTGACCAACTGGCTCTTGAACGTTGACTGGATAAACAATGAAATGAAGACAGAAATAAAGATGGTTTCTTCGAAACCAACAAGAATGAAGACACAACATCACAGAATCTCTGGGACACACTTAAAGCAGTCTCTAGAGGAAAATATATAGCAATAAATGCCCCCATAAGAAGCAAGGAGAGATCTAAAATTGACACCCTATTGTCAAAATTGAAAGAGCTAGAGGAGCAAGATCAAAAGAACTTAAAGCCTAGCAGAAGACAACAAATAATTAAGATCAGAGCAGAACTGAAGGAGAGAGAGACACAAAAAACCCTTCAAAAAAATCAATAAATCCAGGAGCTGGTTTTTCAAAAAGATCAACAAAATAGACAGACCACTGGCCAGATTAATAAAAAAGAAAAGAGAGAATAACAAAATAGATGCGAGGAGGGGGACTCAAGATGGCGCTGTGAGAACAACCCAGGATTGAAACGTTCGGTGAATCCACAGAGAGGTGAGTCAGAGCTGCATTTTCAGACTGATCTTTGTTGCCCACAGAACGGGGAAATTCCCAAGTATAAAGGAGACGTGGGACACCAGGCAGAGGCTCTGCCTGGAGAAGCCGGCAGCCAGGGTGGCAGTGGCCGGCCCGACCCAGCACTCCCCAGAGGGCGCGCTTGTCCGGGTGCCCTGTTGAACCGGCAACCTGAGACTTGAGAGGGCTGAACTTGAGACTGAAGGAAACTTGGACAGTGGGCCAGCCCA